ACTCGACATTTCGTTTTTGTTTTTATTGTTTACTCATCTGCTCTGCTTAATCTAACCTCGTCCACCTAACCACCATCCCCCCCAGCCCCCCCTATTTCCTCGACTCTCACAACAGTGGAGGGGGGGGTACCCCCCCTCTCTCCCCCGCCATCACCACGGCGGTGACACTAGAATAATACTGAAAAACGAAACAGAACCTCCTTTTAAATATTAAAAAACGACAGGCACGCTTTGAACTTACAAAACATAAACACCCCCCCCCCCAAAAAAAAAAAATGTATCCACATTTACAGAACATAACGGACCGAGCTTAATGCATAATTGTGTTTTGACGACCGTCCGGTTATAGCAAAACTTAACCTAGATTTAAAAAAACCCAACAACACAAACGGACGTTAACGCATGTGGGTCATTACAAAAAAACTAACGAAGATAAAACATCGAGAAACGCACGCAGATAGCGAAAGCTGTGTCACAATCTAAGTGTGTCACAATTTAAGTGTCACAATCTAAGTGTGTCACAATCTAAGTGTGTCACAATCTAAGTGTGTCACAATTTAAGTGTGTCACAATCTAAGTGTGTCACAATCTAAGTGTGTCACAATTTAAGTGTGTCACAATTTAAGTGTGTCACAATCTAAGTGTGTCACAATCTAAGTGTGTCACGGTGGCGGTTTAAGGAACAGCAGCAGCAGCAGCCCGGCAGTGTGATTGTTGTGTACAAAGACGTCGACCCCCCTCAGTCTAGCCTGTAACAGACTGTCGGGGCAAGTGCTGTTAGCGAGCGCCTATGAAGGCCGGAACGATGGCACACGAGGGGGGGGGGGGGGGGGGGCCAACACCACGTGCGGCCGCCTTTGTCTCCCCAGTGGCGAAGTTTGCACATCGCTCCGGGTACTCGTCTGAGGCCGAGTCGACCTGTTGCGAACACAGACACGTGGTGGTGGTGGTGGTAACGACTTTGCGTCACCCCCGTCTCCCCCCCCGCCCCGCCAGCTACGTACGGTGCGAAAGAAGTTCAACACACACCGTCTGTCTCTAGATCTCTCTCGTGACGCAAGGACAAATAAACAGACAATCAAATGGTATAAAACGACAACATTCGACTAAGGAGCCGTCAACACGCCCTCTTTGCTACTTGCCGCGTGGAACGGCGGCTTTGTTCGATCCCCGCTCCGCGTTCTGTAGTGTCTACTTCAGCCGCAACATGAACGTCACGGGTTTTCCATTGTGTGTTGCTGCTGCTGCTGCTGCAATAGCAGCAGCAACACACAACTTGGTCGCCAGCTCTGTTGACCAAACGGAGCCAGGGCGGGTTGGTGGTGATCGTGGCTGTCTCGGACACGAACACCGATCACGTCATGATCCTCATCTTGCTCCACTCCCCTGCCTCTCCCCTCTCATCGCACTCCTCTACCTCGCCCCTCTCACTCCCCTACCTCATCTCACTACTCTCCTACCTCGCCCCTCTCATCTCACTCCCCTCCAATCGCTTTCCGAATTGAGCCAATCGGTGAACTCGGTAAACCTGTGTACACACATGACAAAGATCCTCCCCGTATGGCCTTTACAGCCATTTGGGGCAAGTGCTGTTGGTGAGCATCTGTTAAGGCCGGTACGACACACGAGGGGACTGGGTGGCCAGCACCACGCCCGGCCGCCTTTGTCTCCCCCATGCTGATATTTACACACCGCACCAGGTATTCATTCGTGTCGGCTGAGTCAATCTGGGAGGGGAATTCCGGTACATGTTCAGATAATCGTCGATGGCCTTGGTGACGGCCGTGAGCGGGATTCGAACTCGAGTCTCCGGATTCCCCCACCAGTTACACACGGACACACACAGACACACAGGCCACAATCAATCAGTGTGTGTGGTCCTCCCTCGCTGCACTGGAGGTGTCCCCCCCCCCCCGCCGAAACGTCGCGTGGCCATCTGGGGTGTGCCTCTTCATTCAAACTCATCAACTTCGTCTGGTGAGTCGGGTCTCGCTTTGGTCGCGGTGATGATGATGGTGGTCGCGGTGATGATGATGGTGGTCGCGGTGATGATGGTGGTGGTCGTGGTGATGATGGTGGTGGTCGTGGTGATGATGGTGGTGGTCGTGGTGATGATGGTGGTCGTGGTGATGATGGTGGTGGTCGTGGTGATGATGGTGGTGGTCGTGGTGATGATGGTGGTGGTCGTGGTGATGATGGTGGTGGTCGCGGTGATGATGATGGTGGTCGCGGTGATGATGGTGGTGGTCGTGGTGATGATGGTGGTGGTAGTAGCTGCGATGGTGGTGGTCGTGGTGGTAGCTGTGATGGTGGTCGTGATGAGGACGATGCCGTTGTTGACGACGGTGGTCGTGGGCAGCCCTCGTCACTCTCGCGCGCGATCACCAAGTTCGTCACCGCCGACTCGTAACGAGAACATCGAGGAGAAGGAGCGGCGGCGTCTCCATCGTCTCCGCTATCTGTGGTAGCGACGTGAGCCACGGTGGACGCCTCACCAGGCGGCTCCACTCCACTCACCCCTACTCCACTCCACCCCATGCCACTCTACTCCGCTCCCCACCTGCGACAGGTTCTCAGCTCGAATGACGCTCGGCGCAGAGATGGAAAGCGTCGCAACAAATCGTCCATCGCCACCGCCGCACGGATCGACGTTCCCAGAGCCTCGTCTCGTCTCAGACGACCGTGATGAGCGGCAGCATGCCGTAGCGCGCAAAGTTTCTGGGAAACCGGTCGCGTTAAAGTTGCTTCGAAACCGGCCGCGAGCAAAGTTGCTCGGAAAACGATCACGCGCAAAGTTGCTACGAAAACGATCGCGCTCGAAGTTGCTACAAAGCCGGTCACGATCAAAGTTGCTGCAGTAACCAGTCGCAAGTTGCTACGAGTTGCACGCGATCGATCACCCACGTTTAGCGTGGCGCCTCATCGCTAGGGGGGTGGGGGTCACGGAACCCCTTGGGCTTTAGGAACCTCGTCCGGCGAACGACTCCGGGCTCGCGGAGTCGTCACGCGGGGATGGCGCGGCACGCACCGCCATCGGCGATAACTGGAAACGCGTTTGCCAAGACGCTTCGTGAAGTTTAAGGGAGGTGGTGGGGGGGGGGGGGGGGGGGCGGTCAGCGCAGGAGCATTTTTTTCTTTTCCGATTTCGGTAGAGAAACGAAAAAAACCGCACAAACAACGGCAGCGGCTCGATACTTCGAGAGCCGCAATGCACCGTGGGGGGAATTTGGAGACGCAGGTTTGCCGCGAGCCCCCCCCCGCCGCCCCCTCCCCGGTTGGGCGTCGGCGCGCGCGTCACGATCCGGCCAAAGGCGTTGCGTCATCGTGTTGCCCTCCGCCACCTGACACGGCCAAAACTTAGTAAGCGGCACGCGTGGCAACGGGCGGTTTCACCGGTGCGGGGCCGCCGCCGCCGCTGCCGCCGCCACCTCCGACCGTCTCGGACTCGCACGGTGGAGCTGAAGGTCGCGGGCCCCTTGCGGCCGACGTTCGGCGAAGTTGCAAACCCACCAACTGGATACAACTCCCTTTTTCCCCCGTTCCCATGTACGTACGCACACTCACGTGAACGTACACTCATGTACGTACGCACACTCACGTGAGCGTACACTCATGTACGTACACACACTCACGTGAGCGTACACTCATGTACGTACACTCACGCACGTACACGAGTGGACGACCTGCAGAGGGCAGCTCTCCGGCAAACCGGCCGCAGTAACGACGACGCCAGCGATGACGATAACGTGGAGGTGCTCGGTACGCGCGCACAGGCGGCGGCGGTGGCGGGAGAGTGGGGCGATGGGGGTGATGATGATGGTGGCGGTGATGATGGTGGCGATGGTGGGAGAGTGGGGCGATGGCGGTGTCGGTGATGGTGGTAGCGATGGTGGCGATGGTGGGCGGCGATGGTGGGCGGCGATCGATGGCGGTGGTGGTCACCTGCAGCTGTGAACACACAACAGCGACAACAACGCCGTCACGGCCGCCAACTTCATCTGTAAACAACGTAATGGGTGGGGAAGGCAGCAGCAGGAAGAACAGAAATTAGTGGCAAACGCGGCTCCTAACACTGCACCGCTGGCACGTGGCGTCCGCAAACAAACCGCGCGGTTCACAATGGCCGTGTCCGAGACAACCAACCGAACCAGCACTGCTGAGATGTTTGGGTTCAAGGACCTCAGTCTCGCGGCGTCAACTGAGCGCAGCGAATTGGGAGGTGCGCGCATCATTCGAAGGCATCTCAGAGGTAGCTCTGAGATATCCGCTTCCCGCGAGCCGTCGTGTCTGGACCAGAGTGCCATTTAGAAGAAGGCACATCAGATGTAGCTCTGCGATATCCGCTTCCATGCGAACCTGATCTCTAACAATTACATCGTCCGAGTGCACTACTTTTGATAACGCAAGGTTTTTAGTAACGTTTAAAGCTCTTTAGAACCATCTTCTAAAAGTTTGATTGTTAAAAAACAAATCCAACTGACCCGTTGAAAACTCCACATTCCCATGGCGGAAGCCCCCGTTTTACATTAACCTTCCCTTGGAAATGACCACCCGCTACCAATCCCCGGCGCACGTCCGGGACCCGGCACACGTCCGAGCCGCGACGAGTACGCAACAGCTCGCCCACTGTCGGACTTTACACGGTCCAATGGCCGTGTCCAAGTAACGTTCTAAAATTAAGAACACAACAGCAATAAAAAAACACATCCACCGCTGTGATTACCAACGGTGTACAAGGCCACGGCCCCCCACCCTCCCATCCCCCGCTCCCCCCACCCTCCCCATGCACAGCGCCTGTGCCATGGTGACTCTGAGGCCACGTGAGGTGTCGAAGGCTCGCTGACAGGAGGTGGTCTCGGGACAAACCCAGCAGGTGCCATGGGTTGGCTGCGATGACCGGTAGATGCACACCAGCTGTGCCCCCTACTGTGCCAACTTGCTGCATTTTAGCCACCCGGCACTCTGCTCATTGTTGTGAGCATCGCTCCTCTGCCCTCCGTTGTTGCTGGAGGGCGACTGCCTCGAATTGCCCAGTAGCAGCGTCCTTCACGAGCCTCCTCCATAGAGGCCGATCCTGACACCGCTGGTACCAGTCTCTGGCAAGTCCACTCAGCTCAACGTCCTCCTGTACTGCAGAAGTCCATCACTTCTCCAGCCCATGTCGTGCCCGTTTAGCCCCCTCTAAACGGGCAAACAGAAGCTGCTTGGGCATGCGGTAGCTGGGTATGTGGGCTACATTACCCAGCCAATGCAGCCTCGCCTGCAGGAGGAGTTCACTGATAGGACTGTGTCCAGATCTTTCAAGGATCTGTGTACTTCTTACACAATCAAGCTTGGTTAAACCCAGGATGGATCGTAGGCAGGTTAACCTGGATGTTTAAAACTGGCTCCGATGTTCCTCCATTAGTGGGGTCCACATCTCGCAAGCAGAGAGCAGCGAGGGCATTACTGTGGCCGAGAACACCCGAAGCTTCATGTGGAGCAACAGACCAGGTAGGTTCCACACAGCGTTACGCAGCCAATTAAAAGATAATGCTGCCCGAACTCTGCTGTAAAAAAACGGAGCTGGTCATAAGCACACTGCCTAGGTATGGGAGGGAAACAGTCCAAAACTGCTCCATCATGCCCTCCACCACCACCTCCACCACGACCTCCACCACCACCACCACGGCCACCACGACCTCCACCACGGCCACCACCACCACCACGGCCACCATCACGCTACCAAAGGTCTCTCCACCCACCCTCCCGCAAGATCCTGCAAGTGGTGCGACAGCCTCGTCGCAACCACTTGCTCTTAAGACTCGCACGGACACTCGGACTTACACAGAGACTCATAGGCCTGCACGGAGACACACAGAGATCCGCAGACATACACAGAGATCAGCAGAGACCGACAGGCTCACGTGGAGACGCACGAGTCTGCCCTGGCAGTCTCCCGCCAGCGTGTGCTCACAGGCCTTCAACCCCCCCACCCCTTCCCCCCCTGGATTCTCGCCGGACTTGTGAAGTCCGCTGCTGCAACGCCACTCTAGAAAAGCATCGCAATGTCACTGCTGCTGCTGCTGCTGCCGTTACAGGGGGCCAGGGTTCGCAATGGCCAGCTTCGTCCATGACGTGCCGTCTCCCGAGTGCCGACGGCACGGAAACGTGAGAACCGTACAAAAATAAAAAAATAACAATAAAAAGGCGAGCGCGGGGCGGGCAGAGAGAGCGAGAGTCTGTTTTTGTTTGCAGATTTTTTGTTTGTCACAGGCGCCGTTGGTTGACCTTTGAACCCCTTCCGGGAAAGGGGGGAGCAGGTGGGGGAGGTGTGGGGGGGCTTGGAAATAGGGGCCGTGATGCATGGTGGGTGGTGGAAGCGAGCGTCTGTGTTTGTGCCGTGTGGCTACGGTGAGGTTCCCACCAAACGTCACCGCAGGAGGAGCAGGAGGTGGTGGTGGTGGGGCAGGGGGGACGGATTCTAACTGCTCCCTTCCGTAGCTCGTGACGTCACTCTGACGTGGTTCCGACGCCGTTCCGACGTCGTTCCGACGCCGTTCCAACGCCGTTCCGATGCCGTTCCGACGTCGTTCCGACGTCGTTCCAACGCCGTTCCAACGCCGTTCCAACGCCGTTCCAACGTCAACTTCCGCAGCCGGTGATGCCGCCGCCCTTAAGCAGCCGTTTGCGCACGGACGGGCGATGCCACGGACGACGCGATCCATCTCACCCCCCCCACCTCACCTCCACCTGCACCTCACCCCGCCACCTCACCTCAACCTCCACTTCACCCCTACCACCACCTCACCCCAACCACAGATCCCAGCCACCGCACGGTAAACGCCTTTAAGTAAACGACCGCCGTGAAGTAGTAACGATAGCAGAACGGAAATAACGACGGCTAATTCGTTCGTCGAGACGAGGAGAGAGGAGAGAGAGAGGAGAGAGAGGAGAGAGAATCGCAGAGCAGAGAGAGAGGCGAGGTTGAGCGGTTGTGTGGTTCAGCGCTTGCCCTGCCGCAAGCGGTCGATGTGGTAGGCCAGCTTGAGCGCCGGGCCCAACTTGAGGCCCATGTACTTCATCATCATCTCGCTCTTGAGCAGCAGCAGAGCCCGGCCATCAATCTCCTGTCGTGGGGTCAGGTGGTCAAAGGGGTCAGAGGGGTCAGAGGGGTCAGACGTTGCCCGAGGGGGGTTCTTGGGGGTCGGTGTGGTGGAGATGCAATGAGATGAGACAGAAACAACGGCAGCTGTCGGGGCACGATGATGACGATGATGATGATCATAACGACGCTGAGGATGACGACGATGACGTCGACGACAACGATGACAATGACAACGACAATGATGACAACGACAATGACGACGAGGACAATAACGACGAGGACAACGACAATGATGACAACGACGACAATGGCAATGATGACAACGACAATGACAACGACAATGACGACGACAATGACGACGACAATAACAATGACGACAATGATGACGACGACAATGACAACGATGACAATGACAACGACAATAACAATGACGACAATGACAACGACAACGATGACAACGACGACAATGACAACGACGACAATGACAATGACGACGACAATGACAATGACAACGACGACAATCACAACGACGACAATGACAACGACAATGACAATGACGACAATGACAATGACGACGATGACAACGACGACAATGACAATGACAATGACGACGACGACAATGACAATGACGACAATGACAACGACAATGATGACAACGACGACAATGACAACAATGACAACAATGATGACAACGACGACAATGACAACAATGACAACGACAATGACAACGACAATGACAATGACGACAATGACAACGCGACAATGACAACGACGAGAAAGACAACGACAATGATGACAACTACAATGACAACGACAATGACGACAATGACAACGACAATGATGACAACGACAATGACAACGACGACAATGACAATGACGACAATGACAATGACAATGATGACAACGACGACAATGACAACGACAATGATGACAACGACAATGACAACGACGACAATGACAATGACGACAATGACAACGACAATGATGACAACGACGACAATGACAACGACAATGATGACAACGACAATGACAACGACGACAATGACAATGACGACAATGACAATGACAACGACAATGATGACGACGACAATAACAACGACGACAATGACAACGACGACAATGACAATGACGACAATGACAACGACAATGATGACAACGATGACAATGACAAAAATGACAACGACAATGATGACAACGACGACAATGACAACAATGACAAAAATGACAACGACAATGATGACAACGACGACAATGACAACAATGACAACAATGACAACGACAACGATGACGACGACAATAACAACAACGACAATGACAACGACGACGATGACAATGATGACAACGACAATGACGACAATGACAACGACAATGACGATAACGACGATGACGACGAGGACAATGACGATAACGACATTTACGACGGTGACGACGATAATGACATCGACGACAATGACAATGACGACAATGACAACGACAATGATGATAACGACAATGACAACGACGACAATGACAACGACAATGACGACAATGACAACGACAATGATGACGACAATGACAACGACGACGACAATGACAATGACGACAATGACAACGACAATGATGACAACGACGACAATGACAACGACGATAATGACAACGACAATGATGACAAAGACAATGATGACAACGACAATGACAACGACGACAATGACAACGACAACAATGACAACGACAATGATGACAACGACAATGATGACGACGACAATGACAACGACGACAATGACGACAATGATGACAACGACAATGATGACAACGACAATGACAACGACAATGATGACAACGACAATGACAACGACGACAACGACAATGACAACGACAATGATGACAACGACAACAATGACAACGACGACGATGACAATGATGACAATGACAACGACGACAACGACAACGACAATGACAACGACGACAATGACAACGACGACAATGACAATGACGACAATGACAACGACGACAATGACAATGACAATGACAACGACGACGATGACAATGATGACAACGACAATGACGACAATGACCACGACAATGACAATAACGACGATGACATTGACGACGATGACAATGACGACAAGGACAATGACGATAACGACAATTACGACGGTGACGACGACAATGACAACGACAATGACGACAATGACAATGATGACAACGACGACAATGACAATGATGACAACGACGACAATAACAATGACGACAATGACAAGGACAACGACAATGACAACGACAATGATGACAACGACAATGACGACGAGGACAATGACAATTATGACAACGACGATAATGACAACGATGACAATGACAATGATGACAACGACGACGGTGACAATGATGACAACGACAATGACGACAATGACAACGACAATGACGATAACGACAATGACAACAACGACAATGACGAAAATGATGACAAAGACAATGACAATGACAACAACGACAATGACAATGATGACAACGACAATGACGACGACAATGACAACGACAATGATGACAACGACAATGACAATGACAACAACGACAATGACAACGACAATGATGACAACGACAATGACAATGACAACAACGACAATGACAATGACAATGATGACAAAGACGACAATGACAACAACGACGATAATGACAACGATGACAATGACAATGATGACAACGACGACGGTGACAATGATGACAACGACAATGACGACAATGACAACGACAATGACGATAACGACGATGACAATGACGACGATGACAAGGACGACAAGGACAATGACGATAACGACAATTACGACGGTGATGACGACAATGACAACAATGACGACAATGACAACGACAATGACGACAATGACAATGACGACAATGACAACGACGACAATGACAAAGACAATGATGACAACGACAACGACGACAATGACAACGACAATGACGACAATGACAATGATGACAACGACGACAATAACAATGACGACAATGACAACGACAATGACAACGACGACAATGACAACGACGACAATGACAACGACGACAATGACAATGACGACAATGACAACGACGACAATGACAATGATGACAATGACAACGACGACGATGACAATGATGACAACGACAATGACGACAATGACCACGACAATGACGATAACGACGATGACATTGACGACGATGACAATGACGACAAGGACAATGACGATAACGACAATTACGACGGTGACGACGACAATGACAACGACAATGACGACAATGACAATGATGACAACGACGACAATAACAATGACGACAATGACAACGACGACAATGCAACGATGACAATGACGACAATGACAAGGACAATAACAATGACGACAATGACAACGACAATGATGACAACGACAATGACGACGAGGACAATGACAATTATGACAACGACGATAATGACAACGATGACAATGACAACGATGACAACGACGACGGTGACAATGATGACAACGACAATGACGACAATGACAACGACAATGACGATAACGACAATGACAACAACGACAATGACGAAAATGATGACAAAGACAATGACAATGACAACAACGACAATGACAATGATGACAACGACAATGACGACGACAATGACAACGACAATGATGACAACGACAATGACAATGACAACAACGACAATGACAACGACAATGATGACAACGACAATGACAATGACAACAACGACAATGACAATGACAATGATGACAACGACGACAATGACAACAACGACAATGACAACGATGACAATGACGACGATGACAATGACGACAACGACGACAATGACAACGACAATGACGATAACGACGATGACAATGACGACGATGACAAGGACGACAAGGACAATGACGATAACGACAATTACGACGGTGATGACGACAATGACAACAATGACGACAATGACAACGACAATGACGACAATGACAATGACGACAATGACGACAATGACAAAGACAATGATGACAACGACAACGACGACAATGACAACGACAATGACGACAATGACAATGATGACAACGACGACAATAACAATGACGACAACGACAATGACAACGACAATGACAATGACGACAATGACAACGACGACAACGACAATGACAATGATGACAATGACAATGATGACAACGACGACAATGACAACGACGACAATGACAATGATGACAACGATAATGACAACGACGACAATGACGACGACAATGACAATGACGACAATGACAATGACGACAATGACGACAATGACAACGACGACAATAACAATGACGACAATAACAATGACGACAATGACAACAACGACAATGATGACAATGACGACAATGACAACGATGACAATGACGACAATAACAATGACGACAATGACAACGACAATGATGACAACGACAATGACGACGAGGACAATGACAATGACGACAACGACGACAATGACAATGATGACAACGACAATGATGACGACAATGACGACGACAATGATGACAACGACGACAATGACAACGATGACAATGACGACAATGACGACAATAACAACGACGACAATGACAATGATGACAATGACAACGACAATGATGACAATGATGACAATGACAACGACGACGATGACAATGATGACAATGACAACGACGACGATGACAATGATGACAATGACAACGACGACAACGACAATGACAACGACGACAATGACAACGACGACAATGACAACGACGACAATGACAACGACGACAATGACAATGATGACAATGACAAGGACGACGATGACAATGATGACAACGACAATGACGACAATGACCACGACAATGACGATAACGACAATTACGACGGTGACGACGACAACGACGACAATGATGACAACGACAATGACAACGACGACAATGACAACGACAATGACGACAATGACAATGATGACAACGACGACAATAACAATGACGACAATGACAACGAAGACAATGATGACAACGACGACAATGCAACGATGACAATGACGACGATGACAACGACAATAACAATGACGACAAT